AAGTACACCTGGACTCAAACTACAAGAAATCTAAAATCAATTATAGACTATGTCATCATAAAACAAAATACTAATATGCAAGTACAGGACACAAGAGCATACAGAGGAATAACATGTGGTTCAGATCATTATGTCGTAAAATCAAAAGTAACTTGTCCATTTGGATATTAAATAACACATAATCAAACAAATTGTCAACCCCAACAAGAAGAAACTTTGGAAAAAAGAAGTTATAATTTGGATAGTTTGACCCAAGAGAGTACAAGAATACTATATCAACAAAGACTGGATGGCAAACTAATGAATATGACTGAAACATCAACAGTAGAGGAGGTATATAAAAACGTAGTCGTTAGCGTTAAAAAAGCTGCAGAAGAATGCATTCGGCTGTAACACTCAAAGACAAAGTGAAAAACTATGGTGGAACAAAGAAATAGAAGCACTCGTAGAAGAGAAAAAGCAAGCGTATATCAGATGGCTGAGCTGTAAACAACAAAAAGATAGAGATGAATACCTGGAACTCAAAAGAATAACAAGAAGAACAACAGTAAAAGCAAAAAGAGAAATGTGGATAAGAAGTGCCAGAAATTAATATCTACCTGGGAGGCAAAAATGTACAGAAACATGGAAGTTACCAGTAAAAGTTAATAGAACTAACGAAAGGAAGAGTACAAACATTCAATTAATATCCACACAAAAGTGGGAAAAGTACTATGGGGAACTACTGACAGAAAATAGGGACGAATACTTAAGTCAATCACTAACAGAGGTTACTATTAAAGGAGTAGATATAACAATACAAGTGACAGAAATTAGAAAAGCTATAAAAGAACTGAAAAACGGTAGATCTCCAGGACCAGGGAATATCCCAGCCGAACTAATAAAATGTGGATCACAAAAATTGTTTGAAACCGTCACTTGGTGCATAAATCAATTTATAATTGGTTCTCCCGTACCCGACGAGTAAAAAATTGCTTATATTTCGTCGATCCATAAGAAAGGAGATAAGCTTAAATGTGATAACTATAAAGGGATATCAGTCACTAGTAAATTCAGTCGTTTGTATGGACGAATAATTAGAGACCGCATTGAGAAGGAATACAAAGACCAAGAGAAAGAAGAACAATCCGGTTTTCGAACAGGAAGAAGCTGTACTGATAATATCTTCTGCCTCAAACAACTAATAGAAAAAAAATAAGCACAAATCAAGAAACCCAGCTCATGTTTATTGACTTGCAAAAGGATACAGTTCCTGTAAACAAACTCTGGAACGTGTTACGATAGACGAATATTAGTGTCACCTTAATAAAAGCCTTAAGAAATATGTATGAAGGGTCAACATCACAAATAAAAACTGAAAACTGACTATCGCAAAGCTTCCTGGTTAATAAAGGTCCACGTCAGGGGTGTTGTGTATCACCGACCTTGTTTAAAATATATGTTGCAAAAGCATCGAAAGAGTGAAAACGAAAATGCAGAGAAATGGGCGTAGACCTTGGAGAGATTTGCTTGTTATACATTGCAGTTTGCTGATGACTAGGTTGTTATAGCAAACGATTAAGATGATCATTATGAAATCGATATGAAAATTATGAAATCATCATTACATTACGCCCTGCGACCATTACACATACCTAGGAATCGTTTTTGACACAACGGGGAAAAATGATGAAGAAATAAAGAGAAGAATAACACAATCCAAAAAACATTAGGTTGTCTAAACAGCGTACTGTGGAGTCATGAAATAGGAAAAAGAAGAAAACACAATATCTACGAATCTCTTATTAAAAGCAGTCTGTTATACGGAGCAGAAACTTGGAGAATAACCAAAAACAACAGAAGAAAACTGGAGGCAGTAGAAATAGACGCTTTTAGAAGATCAGTAGGAGTGTCACACAGAGAGAGAATACGTAATGATGAGATAACACAGAGAATGGGGGGTGACGGTTGATGGATAATTCAAGACTCCCAAAAATAATTATGCAATAGGTACCACCAAACCGCAGAAAGAGAGGAAGACTCAAGAAATCTTGGAGAGAGGGAGTAACGAAGGCGATGAGCGCAAGAGATCTTAGAAAGGGCTAATGGGATGATAGAGTGTCATGGAAATTAGGCATCGGACAACGTCGCAAGACGTTTTAAGACCGATTAATATATATATATATATATATATATATATATATATATATATATATATATATATATATATACAGTGTAGGTAAAATTTTATGGTCGGTATGGTAAAACTTAACAGGATATCTAACACAGATATAAAATCATATTTTCAGCGAATAGACAAAGATAACAATCATATTCCCCCTTGGTCTCCCCTCCATAAATCTTCTTGACGCCCATTTTGCCTGTTAGTGAGACGATTAGTTCCGATCAGAGATATTTTACATATTCTGTGGTTCCGATCCTCATAAAGCCAAGCTAAGAAACTAGAGGTGGGTCCTTTAGTTTTTTAAATTTTTATCGGAACCGTTTTTCGTAAACTGTAACTAGTTGATTGTTTACCAGTATTCAAATTAGCGAGTACACAAACATATTGGCTATTATCGTTTATGTGTATAAGTATTAAAGTGAAAGAAACTAACGAAGAATATATTTATTATAACTTGAAAAATAAATTAAACAATACAAATAGTACTTACATTTACATGGACTTAAGTCATCTTTATCAGTTTCTTTTTCTTGTACTAGTTAATTTTCAATAGTATAATCTTCTTTTTCTTTTTTTTTATAGAAGTAACCAGCTTCAACCATCAACTAGTTGATTTTAAACGATTTTAACCGAAAATTTAGAGTTTAAACACGGTTTAATTAGACTGCTGCCATTTTTCTGGAAACCATAATTCAGAAAACATCGCTTTTAAAATTATTATTCAGTGGGGTCTAAAACAAAAAGTAAATTTTGCAGTAACTGATAATGCCTCAAATATGGTCATAGCTATTAAATATGTTTTAGAATGCAAACATTTAAATTGTTTTGCTCATCAATTTATTGATGGAGGACGCACTTAAATGCTGTCGTGTACAAATAGATAAAATAAAAAGTCTTTTTTTCGACAATTCGGCAAAAACACATTTCAAAAAAGTACCTTATCTTCAGAAACGCTTTTAAAGTATCAATTACAACATAACAAAGATCCCAAACGGCCAATCCAAGACGTGGAAACTAGGTAGAACTTCACCTATTACATGTTAGAAAGAATGACAGAGTTAGAAGAGGCAAGCCGTTCCACATTGGTATCAATTAATACAGTTAATACAGACTTAGACTTAGACCAAATCTAAATAATGAAGACTGGATTATTTTTTCGTAATTGTCCTAAATTTACGGCCTTTTAAAGAAATAACAAGTACAATGAGTGGCCAAAAATACTTGAATGATAGTTCAGTGATTGTTCTGGTACGCTGCCATAAAATTTTAGCAAACAATAACCTTACATCCATAGTTAGTATCCGACGTAGTACGGGTTTTTATTACTAATTACGGGATAATTACTAATCTCGGGTTTAGCAAAAAGATTTAGAGGGGTAGAATACAGTGGCATATTGTCATTATGTACGTTTACGGATTCACGATTTAAAGTGCAGGGATTTTCTGATAAAAATGACGCTAAAAAAACAAAAGAAAGAGTTAAGAAGCTGGTTACTTCTATAATTAAAGAACAAGAAGATTGTACTATTGAAAATCAACCAGTATAAGAAAAAGAAACCGATAAAGATGACTTAAGTCCATGGTGTATTTTTGATCAATTAATTGGACATGACTCATCTAAACGTACACCTGTAGCGAGAGTCCATTACAATGGTGGAAAAACCATCGCCATGTATCTCCTAACTTAACCACTATATTCATAAAGTATTGTAAATGTGAACACATGTTCAAAATCAGGTTTAATTTTAAATAAAAGAAAAACACAATTAAGTAATAAGAAGTAAAGTAAAAAAACTTATGTTTTTAAATGTCAATTTAGACGATTCGTGATTTAATAATAACGTGTAATGTAAACGTAGGTACGATTTACTATTTGTATTGTTTAGTTTATTTTTCAAGTTATAATAAATATATCATTAGTTTTTTTCACTTCAATAAATATACACATAAACGATAATAGCCATTATGTTTGTTTATGTAGGTAGTTTCTTACTTGAAACTACTATTAAAAAATCATAGTTACTTGTTTAAGAAAATCGGTTTTGCGACGTCAATGACCCACCTCTATTCGTAAATACCTGTTTACGGTTTGATTCAATGATTTGACCACGCGACACGCCACGTTGGCAAATAGTTTTGTACGAAGCTTTTTTATTTATATGCAGTTTAATATTTTTATTGGAAATAAGGCATAATGTCACTTTAAAATAAGCTTATTTTGATGTTTAGATTTTTAATTCGGAAATCGTTTTTAAAATACCAAACATTAATAAATTTTATTTATATAAAACGATTTCCGAAGTATAAATCAAAATGTTATATTACACTTATTGTAAAGTAAAATTGTGGCATATTCCCAATAAAAAACAATAAGTTGCCATTTAAATCCATTTCGCCCAAATTTCATTATCTTGGAGCATTGTTCAAATGCGAAAAAGACAACAGGTCAAATAAAACCAATAAGTTTGGCAACGTTGAATTTCCCCTTTTTATTATATCCACTCCATATCCACTCATTTATGTTCGGTGATATAAAAGGCGGACACCTAATATATCTTTCTCTTTTTAAACAGCTCTTTCTCACTCCATCTCATGTAAGGTCCATACCGACCATAAACTTTTACCTATACTGTATATATATATATATATATATATATATATATATATAATATATATATATATATATATATATATAATATATATATATATATATATATATATATATATATATATATATATATATATATATAGGTATCTAAGATCGATATAACAGGGTAATAGAAAAAAAGAGTATTAAAAAAAGTATAAAAAAATATTTTAAAAAATCTAAACTAACCTTAAAACGTTCAAACTCTTCATCGTCGGACAAATATGTAAAATGAGCAAAAGCAACTGAAACTAATACGAAAAATAATAAATATTTAAACATATTTTTTCTTGTTAAACTGATGTCTCTTTCAAAAGCAATACACAATAATTATATACATTGGAGCGTATATTTATACAACCCTTAAATGAATTATTTAATCTTAACAACGCCCACCATTTAATCTTGGAACTATCTAAGTTTAATATTAATTAAATTAAATTTTATTTTTATTCGATTATCAAAGGATGATTGCTGTTATCGATAAATGTTAAATCATCTGTAACATTGTTCAATTGTTTTGACTAAATTAATAATAAATTTAACGATTAAGATAACTATTATGAAATCATATTTTGAGCCTACTCGTATAACTCGCAGTTCTAGTTGTCATTTAGTACAGAGCTTCTTAAACTTTTTTATATAGCGACCCCCTTCAAGCTTAGGAAATTTTAAACGACCCCCTCCTCCATATAATGAAATATATATCTTAACCGTAGATGTAGATGTAATATCGCACTATTTTACAATGTAAATAATATAAGGATTAAAGAATACGTACCCATTCATTTCAAATATATATATATATATATATATATATATATATATATATATATATATATATATATATTATGTGTGTGTAAAGAATTAAATCTTTTAGCGAAAGCCGTTATCGCTTTATATGTTAAATGGCCTAGGAGACAAATTCGTTAAACTTCCCGTGCTCGAATTGTACTTTGGAGGCCGTGAACGAAACGATATGAATAATCGTTTTCTGTATCCTTTATGCTATGCGAAATGCATACATTTGAGTTGACTTGCATAAGACGGCATCTCATCTCTAAACGACGTACGACGAAAGACGTTAATATTTTTGCTTTGCCGTAGTCCTATTTTAAGTTATAGTTATAGTAGCCTCGTATTTCCGTGAGACTGTGCAAAAATATATGTCTCAGTAATAAAATCATTCAACAAAAAGGTACTCTACCAGGAGTCTGTAAAATTATCAATGACTCAGACGTATAATAATACAAAGTTTCCAGATTCCACTCGATATTAACATTCAGACGTGCCTGGTATAATCTTTTGAACCAGATATGAACAATCAACCAATTAAGTTTTTATCGAACTTATGATAAGTCCACGTGGACCAACGGCCAATGAAAGCATCGGATATCGCTGTTATGACAAATCATAATGCATTATCTTTTGTCGGTAGACTTATTCATACTAGGGGTAAGATTATATCAGTATTTGACTGAGCTTATGGAGTCATAAAATGAGGGATCAGGTTTCGACCGTCCAGTGCCGAAGGCACGGGACGGAGAAAACTTAGGTACGCAAGTTTTTATAATATTTTATTTTTAAATTGCGGATATGACAAACAGATTTTTGGGAGACAAGAATATTTTTAGTAAAATCATAACTGTTACAGCGTTCAGTTAAATTCAAATTTCAAATAGTGAACCGCAAGTTAGTTTGCTATAGGTTATTCCACGAATATACGACTGTTTTGGATTATTACGACAACGAATATTTTACTGTGCAAGTAGAAGTATGAAAGTAAATTGGTCTAAACAGTATCGAAATAAAATGGATTTACTGTTAGTTTGACACTTACACTAAAATTATTTCAGTTAATATATGTTCAGATAGACGCAAAATTTATTGTGAAATTTAATCCGAAAATAACAAAAATTTTTACGCGAACGGTCCTACAAATAAATACAATGAGTTCTGTGAAGCCAAAATGTGTTCATAAGACATTTGGGTTGGGTTTCCGTGAAATGTAAACACCAAAGAGGCGTGCCGGATTTCTTTGATATTCCACTTTTATTACTTTATTAGGTACCTACTACGACTGTAATAAAAAGAAATAAACGTTTAATATAAATGAAAAGAAATTGGCAGAACGATGGTTTGGAAACCAGAAAAAGGATCTATAATTTCACTTTGTTAGTTTTAAATATTTGTTTGATTTGAGTGGATGTACTAAAGTTCCGAAAGTAATGGGTATAACATACCAGCTATTGGTACTTGAAGTACCGAGTAGTTACAGATATTAAAAAGTAACGAACATTTATATACAGTTTCATATATCGCCGACTGATTTAAGTTTTAAAAACTGTCCGTATAGAGGTGCCCGGTGAAGAGAGGTGCCGTTAAGAGAGAGTTTAGTGTAGTGTATTTGTTTATTAAAGCCCAAAACGCCGAGACGTGTTTTAGATATAGACAACTTTATATTTAATGTACTTTCCTATGGTGAAGTTATGTGAATCTGATAGTTGATGATAGTTTTAGGAGATTAGGAGAATAAGAGAATAAGTAAGTTCTTTTTGTTTTCTTAATACTAATTGAATATTCGACTAAATAAATTACACTATTTAATCACCTAAGTATTGTTACACTTCGTTTAAATCACTTAATTCAAAAACCAACTTGTTTACAATACTAAAATCAATGATAGTAATTATATACTTCAAAATCTGAATTATAGATATAACTATCAACTCCATATTTATATCATGACTTCATATTTAAATTTTAAGTCATAACAGTATTTTAAAAATAGGGAGAATTTACTATTGGACAATTCAGCACATTGGACCATTTAAATAGAGACTGTTTGGAAAAGTATCAAGTAATTTAAATATTTTATTTTTATTGTTGCGAATATGACCTTATTTGGTTTTAAATTTTATTTAATCATATATTACCTAATTGCAATATGGCTTTAGTTTATTTTTAAATTCTCGAACTCAAATTGGCTGATTAATTATTGTCAAGTTCTGAGAATTCACTTGTCTGCAATTCAACATGTTTTTGGGAAACATATATCAACCCAAAACACTTCAGCTTCCTTAAGAAAACGTGTCCGCCTTTGTGTAGCAAGTAAAGAATGTCACTTTAAGTTTAATTTACGGCTATTCACGGAGGTCTCTAAAAACAGTACCCTCTAGTCGATTTGGGGTAATAGAGACGTGCCCCTTTGCATATGACATATGATCGACCACTCTTCAAAGAACTCTCGTCCTGTACGGAAGCAAGCGCCCAGCAGATCACCACAGCAGTGTATCTCACGCCAACCCCAGCCGGGACGACCATAGACAAAAAAAAAGGTAAGTGAATCTCATATAGAATTGACAATAAGATATAAAATCTGCCAATTGTTATTTGAATTCATTTTATTTTACATATATTTGCTACAAATATTCGCTATTTTCGCTAATCTTATATACAATCTAATATTGCATTTTTTCGTTATAATTATTTATTCAATACAATTTAACCAGCGATCTCTCAAGTTTAATCATTAAACAGAGACCTTAAACCTAATTTAAAACAGTCGTATATTCGTAGAATAGAGTATAGTGACTTTTTTCAGTGTTCTTTATACGGAAAACATTTTATATTTTACGTTTTTTACTTTTTTTGATACGTTTTTACGTGATTATCTTTTTATACGTTTGATAATTTTAAAATATTGCGTCCGTAGTGCGATAATAATTATATAGCTGTAGAGACAATGGAACCCTCTAATCGATTGAAAGATTTACAAAGGCGTGTAGTAAAACGTAAGCGACATTTTCAATACCTTTCTGATGATGCCAAACGTATGCTAAAAAATGTTTATGAAGGACTGTGTGCTGAATTGTCTAAATCAGAGGCAATTGCACAAACATGTTTTTTAACCAGAGTGCCCAAAGCAACCTGCTACAAAATTATAGGAGAAACATCTTCTTCTAGACAGAAGAGAAAGGATTGTGGCAAATTCAGAAAAATAGAACCGCACTTAATTGAATCTATAACTATCATGACGATATGGAAAATTCAATTTTTGAATCATGGTTTGAAAAATGTCTTCTTCCGAAATTACTTAAAGATAGTGTGATTATCATGGACAACGCATTATATCATTCAAGATTAATGAAAAAAACTTCAAATAATAGTTGGAATAAATTAACAATTCAGGAATTTTTATTCACGGAAGATTTGTATTTTGAGACATCTTATATTAAAAAGCAATTGTTGGAGGTTGTTCATAATAAACAGTACGAAAAGGAATATTTTGTTGACAACTGTGCTCGTAGTAACGGGCATACTGTGTTTAGACTTCCTCCTTATTATTGTACATTGAACCCAATAGAGTTAATATGGGCTCAACTTAAAGCTTAGCTACATTAGTTAGTTGTATATTGCTGTAATTTACGAGTTCAACAATAAAGTTATTGTTCTAATTTGAATCGACCTGTGACCATTTAATTAAACCCTAGACAACAAGATAAAACCCTACAATAATTATGTAATTTGGTGTAGTCGTTCTGAAATAATGCACGTACAAACATTTCGGTGATTCATTTCTATTAATATAGATATTTATATTGTTTTTAAACTTTTTATTAACTATTTTTACATTTTTTTTTATATTCAATACAAATATATTCTATTTCCTGGCAGCCACAATCTGTGTAGTGGTCCCTTCTCCAACCAATCTCTATAATCGTTAACGCCCACGTACCTAGACTTTAATCCCTTTTCATATCTGGCGTTGTGTTTTATGTTTCTCTCTAAACCTTTGAATACTTCTCTACGTTCCTTTTCTTCAACAGTCGAAGCAAAATGTTTGTTGAATTCTTTCTAAAAATATAAAAATTACTGATAAATCTTAAGTCTAAAAATATAAATGTAGATTACCGCGATTAGTGCAATTAAATCTAGAGCTAAGATTAATACTATTACAAGCATTAATATTAAACTCAACAGTCTTGCGGGCTGAACCGCGTCGATTATTATTACGACGAGCTTTCAACATCCTCTTTTATGTCTTCTTCGGAGCTTCCTGGGTCTTAATCTCCAAAACCCCAGACACTACTACATTGATCACTAGCCAACGCATTACTGCCACTAGGAACAGCGGAACAGATAAAGATAACGGTTCATTTATATCGTCACTTGTGACGTGTTTTGAGTGAAGGTTGACGTGGTGGTTAGAGTGAGGATTGGCGCGGGGATTGATGCGGGATACAAGGATCTACAGACCGAGAGTTTGGTACAAATTCCACGGCTTCGCGCAATCGTACTTGTAAGTTCGTGAACTAGTCGACTGGA